GCAGCTCCTGCCTGCTGACTGCCCGGGAAACGCTCCGCACCCGGAGCCGAGCTTTTGGTGGGGGTGCTTAAATATATGACCATGGCGTTTGAACTCCTGAGCCACGGGGAGGCTTTTGGGAGGTTCAGCCCCCACCTGAGCAATGGCTGATTTGAGAATGGAGCCTGTGCAGTGTATCAGAGACCTGATGGCGAGTTGCAGGAGCTGGGATTTGCTCTGATGATGGTATTCACAAATTTATTCCTTCTCCCCTCAGCCTTCCCCCCTGGCCAGTGATTCCTCTCACACACAGTGCAGAGGCAACCTTCAGTGGCCCCTCGGTGCCGGGTTGCTGGCTGTAACTGCATAGTCAACACGGAGGCACCACGCGTGGGCTTCCTTAGACACAGTGTCTCTACCTGGAAGTCTTGCGTGGACAGAACTCGGACGCTTTCCTGAGGCTTCTACCAACACAGAAGTTTTGATCTAAACTTGACAGATATAAATTTAAGTATTGTTCTGTGTAATGTCACTGCTTAACCTCACTATTTACAGAGTCATTTTAGTGAGTTTAATGCAACTGAATCCCTGAGTTTAGTGGCAAGACCAACATTAGACAGGTTGAATTTCTCCCTTGCAGGCCTTGATAACAACAGCTTTAAAAAAAACTCTGGGTTAAAATTGTCGATATGTGGGTTTTGGCTTCAAAAGGGATTATTGTATAGATAACTGACTTTATAGGTGGTATATGTATTTGTATGAGGGGGAGGATTTTTTTTCCCCTGGTTCTTTCAGGTATTAACTCCTAAGAAAATGTACATGCCATCTCTCACACTTTACCTGTTTCTCAGATGTGGATCAGAACAACTTTTTTATTATTCTGCACTAAACAAATTTGTATGCAAGCATTCTTTTTCCTTACTGAAGCTCAGGCAAGATTCAGATTTCTTAAAAAGCACATAGAAGACACTTTTGTCAGCATGTAAAGGAGAGGTGTGACTTTAATGTTGTTGTATTGATGCTTATTTATGTGAAGACTCTGTTCTAAGGAAGAACATATATAAATTATATAGGTGTACAATCTAAAGCTTTATGAGAAGGTAACAATGAGGAACTGATTCAAGGATCCTAAAGCTGACTCCGATATTGCAAGCATTTATCCATGTTAATGATATTGCCCCTACATTGGGAAGTCAGTTTGGTAGTGCTTAGGTCCTCTTCTATTTCTGTAGCTCTGAGCAGGTCAGGGGACAAGGATGGATCAGGAAAAGCAAAACTCATTTGAGTTATATTGTGCCTTGAACTTGAAAATGTGTACTCTGCCCTCAGGAAGCAAGACAACTAAAGTGAGCTGAGAAGAACTGGCAATGGAAGATTTGATGTATTTTACAGGAATATATTAAAATATGTATTTCCAAATCTCACTGTTTTATTTAAAGGGCCATTTATGAGTTCTACAAGTTGATGGGAAGCCTCCTCCCAGAATTCAGTTTCACTCTTGGGTCTAAACAAACAAAATTGTTGATAATGTGTTAGGAATGAATAGAAACGTTTTGTTTGTGGTTGAGTACAGTGAACAAATATGAGATTTCCTCACTTTCAGTACTGTTTGTACATTCTGAGCAATACTGACCAAAACACGTAGACACACAAGCTGTTTCATGTCCTGCACTGTGACAATCTTTCAAAGCAGTTTATATCCTGAAGGCAATCTTTATTTTTTTTTATTTCTGTGCGTTACATGCAGGTCTCTTGCCCTCCTTTTTTGGATGATGCTTTGCTGTGTGAGTAGTCCCATTGAAGCCAGCAGGAGCAGTGAAAGACTGAGTTATTATTCAGTGTCAATATTTTGTGTCCTCAACGTGCAAACCTTCAGACTGTGTTATGGGACCCTTTCTAGCACTGGAAATCTTGGGGTATGGGGGGACAGACACAATTATAGAGCAGTTTGGATCAAAGCCCTTGGTTATTTGGTCTGAACAGGCAAGCATATAGATGGGAGCAAGGATTCAGTGAGCAAATTCCGTGTGAACAAGCAGCTTGCAAGTCTCGGGGTTTTGTCATCTGAGTCCAGCTCTTGGACCTGCAGTTCACCTTGCAGCGCAAAAACAGCCACTGAAAGCTGAAGGGAAAAAGGGTTAAAGAGCTGTCCCTGTCACCTTACGCAAATACGCAAGAAATAGAACGGTATGTCAAGAGTGCTTTTGGGAGGAGGGACAGCTGTTTGTTTTCTATCCTCCCCCAAAGTACAATCTATTTAAATATTTACACGATCTCTTGCTAAAAGGCTCTATTTTCTTTCCTATAATAGCTTCTCTGGTTTATTGTTAAGTTATGAATGGGGGAGAGAGATTTTTAATTGCTAATTCTTCCACTTAGTTGAAAAAGTCTATTTTATTTACTCAGAGAAACATGGTAGTAGGTTTTTCTAACAGATTTAAATGGTTTCACTGAGACTTGTCTTTTGCTGTTTAATATTCTTGCTTCTTCTTTTCATGTACTTTATATATTTTATAATCCTAATAGGATATACGAACATACAGTAAAACCAGGAAATTTCAAACAATACAAAAAGCAGTGGAAGACTAATATTATATGCAGATGTTTTCAGAAGATTAATAATATAGGTAATAAAATAAAGCACTTGTAAATGCAGGAATTATATATTAGGTATTTTGTAAACAGTTCTGAATGGCCAGTAGGTCCTTCACTGGTTAACACACACCTGTTGTAGCCTCGTCACACCCCAGGTATGTGTTCCGCATAGACTCTACTACCAGGACACTGCATCTAAAATTGTCTGAATATTCAGGGTGTCTATTTCTAAGTGTTAGCTTAAAGAATCAGCAAAATTTAATGACATTAAACATCTTGGATTACAAAGCTCTTGCAGAGATGGGAAAAGTAAAAATAGAGCTCCTGAGGCTCCAGAGGAAAGACTTCAGCAAGTGGTTAGTATTATACCTAGGAAGTAATATTTTTAAATCAATAGATCATACAAGACAGTACAGTTAAACACTTCTGTAGTCTTTGCTGGACTAAGGTCTTGATCATTAATCACAGTTCAAAATTAAAGGTGTTGCACTTCACATTGAACGAGTTCTACAATAAATGTGTTTTGAACACAATACAGACCTTCAAGACACAATTCAAAAATAATTTAGCATGAAAAAAGAGGCTCTACTTAATGGGATAGTAGACAGTATCTATTTCATGTCTTTTCATAGTCTTAATTTTGTCAGACACATAACTGATGTACAGGAGGTGTCTGGTTTTGAATAAAAGTATGTATATGTCTTGGTAGCCTTCAAAGAGTAAAGAGTCACCCCTTCCTGTTGGAGTGAGTGACAGAACTCTGAGAGGCTTTGGCAAGGCTGGAACTTTATTCTCAAAAGTTTGCAGCCCTCTAATTGTTATTTCAGAAGTAATTCTTACTCTTTACTATAATTACCCATATAATCCCTTTGTTAAAGACTGTGGCAAAAGTTGCAATAAAATTAATCAGAAAAATGTATTTTAGTATATGTAGGCTCAGGTGCAGGAAAGCCTGTAAGCATGTGCCTGATTTTAAGCGGCTCTACACGTGCTGGCGTGATCTAAATCTCAGATACAGATCGGTTTTAGTTAGTATCCAGAACTCTTTTCAGTCTGGACGAGACGCAGGGTTTAATGTTGCAGTGACTGTGGTAACTACAAATCCCAGGGAGCTTTGCCGTTAGTAGGTCTGTGCAACCGGATTGGCATCCTGCCGGGACCAATGGCAGGCAGAGAGTTCAACAAAATCCCTGCATGTCAGCTGCCAGTGTTAAACTGCAGTGGAGAGAGCTGGGGACCCGAGAGGAAACTGCCTGTTCCCTCGGCTACTTTGAAACCCTTTGAAACCCCTGCGTGAGCTTTGCATTGATATTATATTTTACACCCTCGGTGCCCCAGGTGGAAAAAGCTCACGGGAGTAGTCCAGATGGACGCAATTCTGAACTGCAGAGCAGATGACTTGGAAGATTACTACAGCTTGCTGGGTTGTGATGAACTATCTACGGTAAGAGCCTTCCCCGCTTCCCCTCCAGGTTAAGAACGTTTGAATGTGCTTGTCTGTCTGCGGTGGGGATTTGAAGTGGTTTATCTGTACAGGCAGGACTATTTGAAATGCCTTGTGAACCTTCTTTCTTGCCACTTTTATCTTTTAGTATCTTCCTTCGCAAAGCTCAATCTTCTGATCTGTATACCAATGTTGAGATCCTAGAATAAGGCTTAAATTAAAAGTTTATTATAAAATAGGATTGTATTATAGATGCAACTGAAATAATGGTTTACTCATTAGTTTAGTTCAACATGTGGTATGTTTATGAATCATGAGCCAGCTGCATAGATTTGACAACATCCAAATAATATTTTGGAATATATTTTCGGTTTTAAAAGATGAAAAAAGGTCTACATATGCAACTAATACCATGAATGTTCATAGCTGATAATGCTACTTGAGTTTCTCAGGTTTTATACCTATTTTTTTTTTTAAACTGCAGTCATTGGTTGGGAGGAAAAAACCAAAAATAATCTTTTTTGTTCATAATATTAATGACTTTTAAATGCTAATTTTAATGACATTCAAATACTAGTTTTACTAATTTGTTTTGGTAGCAGATATGCACTTTAGAAGGAGATCTAGCTAAGCAATTGTTGAACAATTTGTAGCTAAAACAAGTGTTCTTCTCCCTACAGGTGTCCATATGAGTTTGTTTTTGATAGTCTGAGTTGTATGCTAATATTTTTTTAATCTAGCTGCTATATTAACTGGGACTGGCTTCCAATTTTGGAGAGAGAGTTTTGATTACTCTGCCGTAATGAAGGATGTGTTCAGTGTGGATAAAAGCTGTATCAGTAAATTTAATCAGATGCTCCCATCTGTCCTAGTGGTCAAATGCTGGGAAAAGACCTCTGTCTTTTCTGTCAGTGAAAGCATACTAGTAAGCATTTTGATCTGTTACGGAAGACAATTTAAAGCTTTTTCCTGAGATAATTCCTGATAAATCATCCCAGCAGAGGGCGGTGTTAAAGTTTCTATGTGGGCTTGTTTCGCAGATATTTCTCATTTTTTATCTCGCACAAATTCCTTAAGGGATTAGTAATTAATGAACAGTTCAAGTACATATGATAATGATTTTTCAAATTACTTCAAAGTGAAGTTAAAAAGATGGAATAAATACTAATGGCTCCTGAAAAATAACCTGTAGAGTATTATTTGTTGAGAGAAGCAGCAGATATATATTACTAGATTATTTTTGACATGGGAGTAGGAACTGAGATCACAAGTTGACTGAATGCCATGATGGCCTTCCCTCAGGATGGTGCACACAACTGCTTCTAACATTTAACAGAAATTTGAGGCATTACAGGTGTTTTGCAATCACATTACTTAGTGTATGAGTCAAGTATTTGCAGCAGCACAGGCTGCTTTAGGCATATACAGCACATACCTGGCTGCAGTACTCTTTATCGAAGGTGCTGAATGTTCTGGTCTTGACCTGATCTGGTTAAATTTAAGCACAAATACTCTCAATTTCTACAGATTTTCCCTGTGTGCAAGTAGGTACCTGTAACAGACTATTCATGCAGTTTTACAAGAAAACTGCAGCTGCCTGTGGAGGTTCCAATGAGGCAAGGCCTTGTGATATCTCAAAGCATTTTGGTTGTAGACTCCTAGTCCTATCCCCTGCTGATAAGAAGAAGCAAAGAATGCACTGAGGGCTTTACTCCCTTCACTAACAAAGGACCTGGTCTTGCTCTTACAACAAAGTAGCAAACCCTTGCCGAGTAAGGCAGCTGCCTCTAGCTTGAAGGTGCCAAAAAGGCCAAAGTTAATCTAACACAGGGTCCGCACGACCTCCAACTCAATTGGTTGAAAGGGTTAATGCTACCTTTCCGCCTCGTGCACATGCGCAGAAAGACGGTTCTCCCCATGCTAATTAAGGAGGCACCCCTCTCCACTTCCTATGCTAATTGAAGAAAGTTAGGCGGAGACCTGAGAACTTTTGTCTATAAAAGGTGAATAAACAAAGAGAAGGTGCTTGTGCCCACCCCCTGAGGACTCCTGAGATGCTGACAGACTGATCGAGCAACTCCTCTCCCCCCCAAGATGTCGCCGCTTATCTCTAAGGATCCAAAGAGTGGTGAAAACTTTTCTCTCTCTTCTCTCCTTTTCCTTTCTTTTTCTCTTCAAGTCTATCTCTCGCTCTCTCTCTCTCTCTCTCTCTCTCTCTCTCTCTCTCTGGCACATGTGGCAACACCTTATAAGTTTTATGCCAGCTCCTTTTCGGGCTTGTTTAGCAGGTTTTCCGTAGGTTGTTTATTTTAGTACTGAAAAGTGATTGCAAGTGTTGTGAACGGTTGCAGGTTAAGTGATTGCAAGTTTTACGAGTGGTTGCGGGTTTCTTAGTATTGTTGGAGATTATGCTGTCGTTATCGCATTGCTGTAAGATTTGGTGTTGTTGGCTGTTGGTAGTGTTGTCATGAATTGTCTTTACTGAGTAATTTGCTTTCTTTTATAATTCTGTTACATTCCACATTTTATACCATACATTTCCCTTCCCCCCCAAACAACTGTATGCATTAAAGTTGTAAGCCAGTATTCAATTCTTTGGTGTCGTCTCACCTTAATTTGCCCCAAGGGAATATACAGAACCTCCATGAACCCCACTTGTCCCACCCAGGGTGGTTTTATGAGCTGGGTCGTGACAATACCCGTGTTCATTCTTGGCTTTTTGTAGAATTGAGCTCACAGACACCTATTTAATCTTTAGACTTCAGAGGGGAGATTTAATTTACATCCTTCTAAGCACAGTGTTATTCATATATTGGATACTTTTCTTGGTAAAACATCTCACAATATTTTATATAGATTTCATCTATTTTGTATGGACTTCATATAAGCTTTTCCTTCTACTGTGGTTTTTTTTTTTTTGTTTTTTTTTTTTTTTTAACTGAAGACTTCCACTCTACCCCTCTGCTACTGTACATATTGTAATTTTAAAGTTCCCCTTTATATAACTAAGTTTTAGACATGGTAGCTAGCTATAGAGTAACCAATTTCAACAAGTTCTCTGTAAAATGTGTATATTTTTAAGTGTCTTACTGACTGGAAATATACCACCTTCTATCTGTCCCACTGGAAAAAGCTATTGAGAAGAAGAGCAAAAAGTGTAGGATTCTTAAAATATCACTGTAGACCACATTTTTCCCAGCATATGACAGCAAAATTTGGCCAGATAGTTGAATGGACTGCAGTTTTATTCTAAAGAAAAAAAGGTTATGAGCCTTAATTTTGAAATAAATAATTTAATTGTATATGGATATCAGCATTCAAAGGATGAGGAATTTATATGAACATGAATTTATATCATGGGAAAGAATAGTAGCTCAGTGATATCTTAGGAAAAACTGTTGTCAAAGCTTAAGCTGTACTGGAAAGATAAAAAGAAGTTTTGGCACCTAAATTATAATAAGAAGAAAGATACTTTGAAAATTCTGAAAATTTGGAAATCTAAGCTGACGGACGCTCCAGTAGTTTCTTGTATTTTGTTAACTGTTAATATGTCTCTGTCTTTCCACTGGTTGTAGTACTTTATGGTACTATAAACTGTGTGGGAATTTGTAATTAACTAATAAATTAATACATGAGAATATTAATACATTAATATTCTAATATTGATTATGAATTTATTCTATTCCAAGCCAGCCTTTTTGCACTGAAAATTAACTTGACAGGAAGAAGGTGAACTGCTAGTTATCTAGCTTTGTGGTATCCAGGATCAAAAGGTCATGTGGTACGGGCTAAATTTCCTATGAAGAAGATATGGAGAAAGCCACCCAGAACCACAAATTCATCTTCAACAATACAGAACGTCTCTGCTTCCTGCAATGAGACTTCATTAACAGAGTTAATGAAACAAAGCAAAGCGCAACTGAAGCGATGCATTTTGTGTATGTGGTCAAATGTGAGGAAGGGGTTTTGCATGTGTGATCTTTACACATTTTTCTTAAAGCCGACTTGCTATATTGGATGACTGAGCTTCATAAAAACAAGGATGAGTGCCTGGAAAATGTAATTAAATAATCAGTGTCACTGACAGATGGTTGTTATTACCTATCTTGATTGTACTAAAGCTTGTAAAAATGAATGGGAAAAAAATCTTTCAGCATTCTTTGTTGTTCCTCCAAACCCCTTTCAAAAAGCAAATTTGAAAATCTTTTCTGTGTGTATGTATTTACTCACTTTAAATCTTGAAATTCTGTTTAGGTTGAACAAATTATTGCAGAATTTAAGATTAAAGCCCTTGAGTGTCATCCTGACAAACATCCTGGAAACCCCAAGGCAGGTATGAATTCTTTCCTGTTTAAAAGCAATCTATTTTTTTTCTTATATTAACATCTCTAAGATATTAAATTCACCCTTAAAGATCTATTAAATGTTATTTTCCAAAAATGTATTTTAATTGTCATTTGTATTGAGTATATTGTCTTTAAATAGAAAGCTTTAATATTCTTTTCTAACACTTGCACACTCTTATGTGGTAGAGCAGGAAGACACTTGCTTGATTTCTTTCTTTTCTCCTAGGACTTTCAATTTTTTTTCTTTCTATGGCAGAATATCTTTTAATCCAGAAATTTTTTATGGAGTGTATCCCTTTCTAGACTTTGAAGTTGGCCTGCTTCCATGCGTAGTGGCATTCAAGTGCCATACTTGCGTCAAGTAGTTAATTTGTTTCCATGAACAAGCCCATCAGGAACACATTAAATGTACTTTAGTTTCTTTTAATTTAAGTTAATGACTAGAAATAAGGAGCAGCCAGTACCACATGAGTAGCCATCTGTTTGCAAAACAGCAGCTAACGTTTACATTTATGAAAGTGTGTAGTTGATCATACCTGCAATGGCTAAGCAGCACCTGATTTATTTGGAGACAGTCTTGCCTGTTCATAACCACAAGATTGCTCTAAACAGTGCTCACCAATGTCTGAATAGTTTATAGTCTTATAATAAAGGTCATTCTGATTATAATTATGGTCCCCACCAAAAATTTGTTGTAGAATAATTAAATATGCTTCTCATTTTGATTAATGCATAAAACTGTTCCTTTGAATTCTTCCTTTTTAACTCTAAACTGGACTATATAAGCATAAACTGAACACCATAGCCTACCTACTTGTGTGAGTTTGACCTCATCCACAAGGTCTTCCCCTGAGATAGCAGAGCTGGGAGTACAGCGATGTTAGATGAGACTTGCACTCCACTGCCTTTAGCAGAGCTCTCAGCAGGGCTTGTCTTTCCTTACTGGTTTGCCATCCTAGCCTAATATCAGAGAGTTGCCAAGGTGGGGGTTAAAAGGTGAAATATGTGGGATTTTTCACTTTGGGGTTCCCTGTCAAGGAACCGGTCAGATTTCATGTTTGAGAGACAATCTACCACCTATTAACAATAACCTGGTCATTAATATTTAATTTATTCTAAATGACAGCACAAGTGCCAGTGAAACCAATGGAATCAACTTTCTCTGCAGAAAATTCTGGCTCTTGCAGCAGGAAGACCAGTGTGTGGTCCTGTCTCTCTGCGCCACCACCCTCTGCTCTCCCCCAAGTTAATTGAAACCAAGTAAAGCAAAAAAGGAAGCCAAGTGCCAACTGTTGGAGCAGCTTTGTTTGTCAAGAAGAAATATTTTATGCTCCATTTTACCTGAGCATGCTGTATTTACTTTAAATGCCTTTTTACAGTACTGGTGAAAGTTTACTTTATATTTTTTATTTCATCAGCTTAAAGCTCAATAAAGAGTAATTAAAGTAGACTTTTTATTTGTTGAGAACTAGTGACACTAGAAAAAGGAAACCTGATAGAACTGCCTCCTCAGCCTGTTCTCTGTTGTTTGATTTATAGTTATCAATTCTGATTAGTGTTTGGGCTTAGTGTATTTCAAAAGAAATCACTCTAATTTGTAAACTGGAATAAATGAATAATAACAATAATAGATCACTGTAGCACAGATGACTCAGATAAAGTTCAAACCTTTGTAACCCTTCTACAAATAGTAACATGCAGCTCCATCCTTAGTAACCATTTAATGAAAAGTTACCCTGTAGGGAAGAATAAGAGCTTTAATTCATGCAGCCTGGTATTCAACATAACATTTTAGCATATGTAGAAAACGTACCTAATAAAATGCATAAGTTGTTTAATTGGAACTACAAGTAGATTCCTCCTCTTGCTTATGAATTTTTTCTTGTAATTTTTTTTTTTGCACACTCATGTTTTCTTGGTGTTGTGCTTTGCTGTGACTTCCTTGCTGCTGTGGATGTGTGCTCCCTCTCGGCATTATTACTCTAGTTTATGTTCCCTTTTCAAGGTTGTCTACAGGGGCGACTTGTTACTTTTGCCCCTTGTACTCTATAAGTTTCTCTGAACTTAAATTTAGGAGATTTTGAAGCTGGTAGACAAATGAGCATTTTAGTCCTCATTTGAAAAGGCTATCAGTTGTCTACCAAAGGTGCCACGATCCTAAAGCCAGCTCAAACTGTGCAAAGCTGTAAGCAGAACAACCACATACCTTTGTCACTTAGTTCTTCTGTCTTCTCTACTCAGTTTGCTCTAAGCCATTGTTGGCAGCTCCCCTTTCACATCTGAATTAATTTATTTGAAAACAAATATAGGCTTTAGTATCTTTTTGGTTTGTGTTCTAGTGGAGAATTTCCAGAAGCTGCAGCAAGCTAAGGAGATTCTTACTAACGAAGAGAGTCGAGCACGTTACGATTACTGGCGACGAAGTAAAATTACTATTCCATTCCAGCAATGGGAGGCCCTGAGCAACTCTGTGAAAACGGTTGGTGTTGTCTAAGTTTGGGCCTTTAGGAGCAGGGGGAGGTTGGGCTGGTCCAGAGAAAATGTTGCAGCGAGAGGAAGAGTTACAACACTTCTGCTGCAGTGGTGGGTTTTGGGGATGGGAATAGTGCAGAGTGATTTCTGCATTAAGGATGTTAAGGAAAGTCTGGAAAACATGGAGGGCTAGAGAAGCCCATTCACAGAAGGGTTTCAGGCTAGAAGTTTTAGAGTTAATTTATCAAGTTGCTGCTTTTATGCATATTATATGAAGTTTAAGTAAATTAAGGGCTGTTTTCAAATGCTTCAGCATACTTTGCTTTTGTAGGAAGCTTTTCTTTAAAGTAGATCAAAGCTAGGATCTTTGTATAATACATGCTCCTTTTGGTATATTGCTTATCAGGTAGGTTTTCATGCTATCTGATTAAATTAAGAGCTCATTGAAAAATCTAATAAATAGGTTCTTTGGAACCCTGGGCTTCACACAGGTATTTGAGGGACCCTGCTAGGCTAATGGGGTGATTTGTGACAGAGACAGATGTTCTGAGGGTTGTTTTCCCTCCTAATGTTCCTAGTGAGATAATTTGGTAGTGCGTTCCTAGTAGATCCTAGTTCTCCAGTGTTTGATTTTTTTTTTCCCTGCCTTATTAGGGTGAATGATAGTTACAAGTCTACACGGTCATATTTTAAGGCAGGTGAATAAATGTTTCCTGTGCCAATTCTGCCCACCTCAATTCTGCTTTTAAGTTTGAGAGCTTCTTCAACTAAAGCATTATGCCTGAACTTAAATGTTTGCTGGAAGTATCCCATTAAGCTTAGTTCCCTTTCCAAACAGAAGTCATTCCTCAGACTTTGATAGTAAATCTTTCCAAATTGTCTCGCTTCCAAAGGGCACTTTGAAGTCAAAGACAGTTTTGAAAATAGACATTCTTCTAAGTCACTCAAGTCCTCTTAAAAAAGTGTCTGAAGTCATGACAGAAGAAACTGGACAAAAGACCGTTTAGAATTATTTGATGCATTTGTACATTTTGTTCATACCCACTGGACATAAACTATCCTCTCAAATGCTGTTTGCAATATGTAACGTGCTGTTACTGTTGTTACTGTATACCATCCTATCCTGTTGACCTGTAAACTTCTCCCTAATATGTACTTTGTTTAACTATTTGTTACAACAATATAAGAAAGAAAAGAGAAGTTTATTAATAATCTTTTAAAGCATAGGAATTAGTTCTTTAGTTGTTACTTTTGCATTTCTTTAGTCAATGCACTGGGCTGTCCAAAGTAAGAAGGACCAAATGCTGGAAGCTCCTGACTTGAGTAACAGCAACAACATAACTAATGAGATTTGGACCCAACAGACTGAAAACAATGAAGACGGGTTACCAGATGGGAACCGCGAGCAAGATGATGTTGCTATTCGTGATGTGGAACCACAGTCTTCAAAGAATCCAGACTCCCCAAGTAAGTGAAACCAGCAGTTACAGAAAATTGCAGTATCCAGGGATTAACCTGAAATGGAGGCTTTCAGTCATGAGAAATTCTTCTCTAGAATAATATGTTTAACTGGTAGCTTTAAAATGTTGTTTGGTTGGGGTTTTGTTTTGAGTTTTATGTTGTTTATTATTTATTTGCTTTTGAATCTTTCAGACCTTTCTTCTTCCCTACCCCATTCTTACTTGCTTGTTTGCTAGTCAAACCAAAAACCAGAGAAGAAGAAAAAAAACTCTTCTTAAACCAAAATGAAAAGTTCAGTTTTGCTGCAGTATCAAAAAAAAAAAAAAAACCAAAAAAAAACCCAAACAAAAAAGGCAATTATTTTCAGTGATTAAAAAAAACCCCCAACTTTAAAAACTGTTAAATAAAATATTTAGGTATTATAGTGTTGGTTTTTTTTAATCCAGTATTCAGAGCTTCTGCTCAGTTTGCATCTGATGAGTTAATGAGGACTGAAAATTGAAACTTGAAGGCTTTTTTTATATTTGAACAAGTTTTTTAAAAAATAGTGCATGCACCAGAATAAGTGTGTATTTCAAAAGCTGTCATCTGGCCAGTTAGTATCTCCTGACTGTTTAGGTCAGTATGCGTGAATCAAAGTTTACTTACCACAATATCCACCCTCTGTTCTGCTTGATCCTTTGGAAATTTCATAATTTTAGGCATATGTTATCAGAGAACTATTATTGAACAAAGTCCTGTCATTTCTTCCCAGCTTGATCAAACAGGAAATTAAGTTGAACTGAGAGGGTAGTAAAACCTAATTTAATCCCAAATATTTGTGGAATGCAGAAAATGTAGATAAGAAATTCTACAAATAAATATATGTGAGGCACAACTGCAAATTTTATATTTTAAAATTATGCTTTATAATGTTATACTGTTTGCTACTTTTTGGTAATTAAATAATCACTGTAACCTTTGCAGTAAAATTTCAAAGTAAAGAAAACATCACCTTGTTCCTTGTAATGGTGAGCTTTCTTTGCAGGCATCTTCTTTCTCATAATTTTTCAAGTTTTGATTTCTGTAGATTTGAATGGGAAAAATATCAAGTGCATTAAATACCTACTTCATTTATCCAGTGGGCATTTTAATAAATGTTAATATTAGAATATATTTATTTGACAGGGCCTGTATGCACTTCAGTTTTCATCACACTTGATGCTAGGATGTTGATAATGCTTTTGTTTTGGTCCAGGAAAATTTGTTATATTTGTTTCCACTTATAAATCGGGATATTTTCATTTCCTGTCTGCTGGTCTGCAAGAATTATGGACAACAACTCCACGTAGTTATTTCAGCCTGACTAAGAGATTTTTACACTAAGTCTGGTAATAGGTTTCAGCTTCCTGACAAAGGAAGATCACATTTTAGTATTAACAGCCCATAGATTACAAAAACATAGTGGAGGGTCTCACAAACTCCCTTTACTCCCTTGTATGTGGAAAGGGCAATCAGCACCTTCCCTCCATGGCGCTGCCTTTCATGTACTTGGAGATCTATCATGTCACCCTCTATCTCTTCTTTAGATTAAGCAAATGCAATTTGTTCAGTTTTTCTTTGTGAGTCCTCTTTTCTGGACTGACATTGTTCTTGCTGTTCTCCTTTTGATTCTTCCCAGGTGATATATATCTTGAAGTTTGGTGTTCTCTTGAGTTCTTGTTCAAACGGTGACAAGAATACAGAGGTTGTCCCTGCTAGTCAAGAGCACCGAAAGTGACCAATTTTTTACTTCATTTTTTGGGGGAAGATTATCAAGTAGTATTTTAGACAACTTAGTTTTATATATACTTGTAATAATTTAATTGCCTTTATCTTTTTTTTTCTCAGGATTTTCAGAGGCAAATTACTGGCACTTGCGTTTCCGCTGGTCAGGGGATGCTCCATCAGAGCTTCTGAGGAAATTTAGAAACTATGAGATCTAAAATGCAAAATACACAAGAGCATGAGATCATCTGCTCAACAACTCAGTATTTTTTTGTCAGTAGTTATAAGTTAGTTGTATTTTCTATTCATTCATCGTGATGTGAACGTTGTTAGAATAAATATCTTAATACTGATTTGTTAACACACGTGCTACAAGCACTGCAGATGGAGGTCTTTTTGTTGAATAAGAAACCTTTAAGCAAAGCCCTTTTCAATATTAACATGAAGTGATTTTGTGAAGTTATCTAACATCTTATACTTTGTTTCTTGTATTCTTAAATATTGTGTAGTGAATATTTTTGTCAAAATTGTGATGTTATAAATAATGTCCTCTTGGCAGAACTAAAAGTCAATGTTAGACTCCAGCATATCATCCTATTTGGTGATGATCTTCCAAAAGCTATATGACAATGAACTTTAAACAAAACTGTGCTTATTTCTAAACTATGTACTCTGCTTTGCTTCTCTATTACATTGTATTTACTGTAGTGATTTATAATGCATGCCTGCACAATACTGTTACAAACTTAACTTGTTGGAGAATTGTGATCTTATTATATAGATGAATTAAGAACCTTCTTATTATCCAAGAACATAACTCTTAAAAAAATCACTTGCTTTCTATCTTAACAAGTGTACTTTTTACACCAGCTATTGCTTTTGGAAGGCAGTTCCAGAACTCACTTCTCCAGTTAGCAACTTTTTTCTTCTTAAGATTTATTGGTGGCCAACTGATACCCCTTGTGTGTGTCCCAGCATTGTCCTGTGGCTTCATAGTAATTTTCCTCCCTGCTTCAGCCTGGTAGGTGGGGCCTTATCAGTGTCTTTTATGGTGAGTAATGAAGAATCAGGCCAGTCAATATTAATGTGTACAAAATATCACATTAAAGGTTTTTGATATTTTGGGCAACTTTTCAAATTCTACATTGTATTTACTTATTTTGTATTTGCTTTCTCCTTTTTAAACCTGGCTAACATGTCAGGTATTGACATTGTATTTTCGCGCAGGCAAGTAATTCCATCAGCAACGAATAAAACTGCATGCATGCAGAAGGGGGTTGTTTTCTTTTTTTTTTTTTTTTTTTAAGTTATATACTCTACCCACCACAGAGATCCCTTCTGAATTTCTTGTTTCTTGTCCCCTCATTGGGTAAAAGCTTAAGGGAGTACAGTTATGATGCCTGGCATTTCCACAGAAAGACTAATCTGAAAACTACAGACTTTTCCCAACCTGGAAACAATATTACAATGTCTGTCTCTCCCTGGAGTGACATGTCTGGCTCTACTGTGCTTCACCTGTTTGCTATGAATTGTAACACAAGTGCCTGATAATATATGCATCTTATTAACCTCATTAGTATGTTTATTCCGGTGCCAGTTTTCTTTACAGGGGCTGATAGCTGTGTTAATGCTGGTTGTGTTTATACCAGTTTATAAAAGCTCAGAGTACTGGTGTTCTGCTGATACAGCTACATTGATCCTAGATTTGATGGCATCAGTAGGAATAGCTATTTTACAGCATATCATTGTGCTTATCCAAAATCTTTTTATGTTTTAATTCTGCATGCTTGTCCCTTGCATATTTTGCAGCTGAAAGTGTTACGGAGATGAGATTGATAATTCTCTGTAATATCTGCTAAATATAATTACAAATTTTCTTTTAGTGTATATACTGCCTTTCTTTCCACAAAGCTATTTTCTCAAGAAAGACTTCCAATCCATTTTATGGGGAGGGATCGTGAAGAATTTCAAACAGTAGTAACAGAAGACACTCTAGTTCATGTGAAGGATACAAAATAATAGGGAACAATTTTTCTCTAACAAAAAGATGGAAATGCAACCCAGCTGAAGTACTTTCAATCAGTTGGCTGCTCAGATCCTCCTCTCCCCATTTCACTTGCTGGTGAAGGTAAAACAGGGTAGTTGGATGGATGATTTAGCACCTAACCAGCTGGATTTCCTTGAAAAGTGAGTACACAATAGACCTTTGAACAGCAAACTAATTTCTCATGTAATTAAAACGGGTGTTCTTATTAGCCAGTTATTACCTGGTTTGTTTTGGCAAAGCACCTTTAGATATTTATTCGGGATGAGTAATTGCAGATATTTCAAAGACTTAGCCCAGCCAAACTTGATAGCAAAACTTGTATTTTGTGACGTACCTGTTAGAGCTCAGTACTCCAATTTGTATTTGCGCTGGTGAAGGGGGCAGATAATTATCTAGTGCTCTAGTACACTGAATCAGAGTTTTTCTTCTGTTTATATATTTGACTTGAAATGGTCCAATTTTCTGTATTTCTCAAATGGAGTTGTATTAACCTATTCCTAGCAGAGCAAACCCAGAGGTAGTAGAAAGCAAGAGGAAGCTGTGCAGCCTGTTTTGCTTTTGGGACAGCACTGGTGGGAGCTGACCTGTTGGCCAGTAACTGGAATAAGTGGGCAGCCCACTTCTCCCTCATGTCAGAAAAGGAAGAAATAAGCACTTGACAAATTACTCAGTGTTAGATCATTCAGGGCCCACCTCTTCACTCCCCAGCATAAACTGTTTATCTTTTTTTTTTTTTTTTTAACATATATAGTATTTTTAGTTTGTAGCATGAAAAGATCCAGCAAATGTCCCACATGACATTATCCACAACAATGTGGTGCCTTGGCCACTGCACTGGTAAGCATATAACACACTTAACATACTTAAACATTAATTAGAGCAGGGGTTGTAAGGGGGATTTCTCAAGCTCTGCACAAATGTGATTAAGAGGCAGCAGTCAGGTGTACATGGTTTGTCAGGGGCCAACAGAGAGCGTAGCTTTCTTTGCAAAGTGCAAACAGCTGCAACAGGACCGGTGCAGGGGTGCGGAACAACTCCAGACACTGTATTTTAGCATTAGGGCCTGTGAATCTTAAGTTGTGGGAGAGGACAGTTACTTGCAAGGCAAGGTAAGGTCCTATTCCCTTATTTAACAATTCCTGTGTGTTGTTTAGGTAGGTAACAAAGGGTCCTGAACCTTCTGGGCATTTGAGGAGTCTGATTTGGTGTGTGCTTCTATTACACGGTGTCTGAGTGTTACCATGCTTGAGTGCTTTGTTAGCTATAGCTCTAAATGACTTAGCTTAGCTTGCTATGAAAATAAACAGACCTGTGAAGTGAGCGTAGGTCCTCTGGAGTCTAGGCAAAAGTATTGATTAAACTTAGCCGTTACTGGACCTGTGAGGGCTGATAAGATTTCAGCTGGAAGTTGTGAGACAGCAGATAGGGGTGCAGGTGGATGATGAGGATAATGAAATACAGAAAACAGGGCATGTTGTTTAATACTGTGTTTCTAGGGCTCTGAAACTCTATCAACTGATGTTGTAAGATGAAAAATTAAGCAACTATTTAGCCATCTGTTTACAATGAAACTAAACAGCTCTGGGGGTTTCTTGAATTATATAAAATTAATATAATTTGAATTACTGCTGTCATGCTTGTTCTTGTGCAAATGCTGAATATATGACTGAGAATGTTCTAGTTCTTCACAAAGTTTTTGTTTTGCTAGTATTTGCCAAGTTGTTTTGCCCAGAATTCCCCGAGTTGCTATGTAAGAGTTGAAGTTTTGATGAAAAATACAGACAGTATATGACTTGAATGCTTGTTTTCCTCTTTTAATGGGAGGGGTGGGGTGGGGGAGGGGGGGAGAACAAGGCAGTTTATATATTCTATAATAGAAGCAAGTACCCTGATGATTAAAACAGATACTTGGTAGCTTTAATTTCCTGAGCATGAACATTGCCATCTTACACTGTCATATCCTGAAATGAGAGACGAGACTGCTGGGAAGGTAAGCAGTGAGGCTGTTGTAAAGCTGATGAAATATGAAATTACACAGCAAAAGATAAAGCAGCTCAGCAAGTCGTCAGCCTCTGTCACTGTCAGATGGGGTGATATTTATCAGTTAGTTTGTACTGGGTATTTTTATGGTAGCTCAGTGTACACGCTGCTGCGAAGCTGTGACCCTGATGGTAGGCACTGCGTATGTTTATTCTTTCAACTTCACTATATTAGTCTCTGCTCCCTCCCACGTCAATGAAGATGACACGACTCATGTTCTGTTTATCCCAGCTTTGAATGGCTTGTGTCTGAATCGTTACAGTGGTGCACAATATAGACTGGGAACCTTTACACATTTTAGGTCTCTGATGGATATCATAACCTGTCATAGGTGATGAATGCTGGAGAAAATGAATTTTCTTTCCTCTCTCATCCGTCTTCACAGTGGTTTGCTCTTGCTCCCTTCTGGTGGGGCAGTAAGGGAGAGCAGTTACTTCTAGAAAATGAACTTTGCTGCCAGTGTTCATACGGTTTCCAGTCTTGATGTGCGATGTGGTTCTCAGTGCTTTGGATAAAACAATTTCCTTGCTGTTTTGCCACAACTGTTTCTCTGAAAGTATCAAAGGACCCTTGGTGCCAAAGGCAGACAGCTTTCCTAAGGAGATGCAGCTTGACTCTCAGGCATCAATCCTTAGAGAAATTACATTTACTTTGTCAGGATTGTCACAGCTGGTCGTTTACTAGCAGTTAATTTCTATGGTGCCCCCCAAATTTATGCTGGGTACTGTCAGCTCCTCCTCTCAATAAACAATTTTTTGTGAATGATGATGGGATGGCGGGCAGGAGAATAAGCAGAAAGATTTAGAGGAGTAAGAGGCTGTTCAAGCTGGCTGGGCCTGGGTGTGTTTGGTGCTTTCTGTTAGTCGCAGTCCTCACTTTCAAAGGATCTGAGTCTTCCCCAGGATTCCTATGTTCATCCTTGGCCTGCCACTGCCTAAGGGCTAGACTGCTTGCTTGCTTCAGTGTCATAGCTGATGATGAAAAGGAGCCTGGACATCTTAAGCAGTGCAGTGGGCCTGAGCCAGGTTTGGGGAGGAAAATTGCACCAAGTGGCAGAGATATGGAGCAGGACCACGTTGAGCCTGTATGTACGTTTTGGGGTCTGGACTCCAGCACCAGATTCATTACTGCCTTGCTCTCTCGCTCTGAGAGCTGAGGTTAAAAAAGGAAAGCAGATCAGAAAAGTAGCACTTTAACTCTTTGCTACAAAATGGAGCTGAAAAGTGACAGGAGTCAAGCGATCACTGAACCCA